ACGAATGATGTTACGAGTCTCGTTAGTCAACCATTATATTTATGTTWGGTACTATGTTGGGTATATCGTTTTTAATTTAATGAGCTCTCTGGGAAGATCTACGAGATATTTTAAACGAGCACCTGAAGACCCACGACAGTAATTATTACTCATTATTGAGTTTCTGTTTTTCAGTGTTCACACATAACAACATATGATACAATAGTATTATGTGTTTACACAAACATATCATTATCAGCCTGATAAATACTTAACGGTTTTGGTATTCTGCTTGTAATCGGCTGCATTAAATGTTGTCCAACCGTGCATTATCGATTGGCATTTGACGCGGTATACGTTTAAAACCACGACTAGCCTACGTACTACGCTTAGTATCTATATGTACCTAATAACGTAACTCAACTATTCAGCCCAGCGGTCTTTAAGTAATCAATAAATAATATTAAGTTAATCCATTTAATACAAAGCCAATGGAGATATGAAAGAACGGCGTTTTTAATAAATTGGTTTTGAACGTTGTAATTTATTTATTTCCTATCCGGGAGAGACGCTACGCGAAAAATATTATACAGAACACGGTATTACGTAAATTATTATTACAAGTTACAACGAAACGTGTCAAAAACGTATTGACTTATTATTTACATTTAGATCGGTATAAAAATTGATTAAACTAAAAACATCAAGTCGTATACCAAAACTTCATAACGTCACCGTAATATTTCGGATTAAAACTCTAATGAAAAGTAACCGAAAATATTGATTGAAACGTATTATTTTTGCACTTTGATAAAATACGACACGACGTATAAATATAGGTATCGATTCTAAGCTATGATACATTTATAAAATAAAAATAAATTATGTTGTCGTGGCTTAAAGTATTAATCTCGAATGTGTGTTATGGCACAATGTCAATATATTTTATATAGGTACCCATACGAACGACAAACAGATAAATCTAACGTTCAAGATTTATCTGAGTCACGATTAATAAACTTTGTCATTATTAGCATGTCGGTGGTATAAGTACCAATATCCAATAGCCACGAACGAACAAATTGACGAATTATGATTGAAAAAAAAATATTTTATACGCAAATAACACGTGATCCGAGGTTACTGTGCATATGCAGTCTAAAAATAACGGTGTTATGTAACATTTAACAATAGGACACTTACGTGACAATTAATCAGTATTATTATACTCACAAAGTCCCTATCATAATAAATAAATATAAATTAAAATTTTGTCACAAACAAATTCAAATTTAAGTATAGTATTGTAATCAGATTCTTTACAATCAATGAGTTTGATAAGTATTTATCTGCAACTATGCTTCAATAAAAATGAACAAAAATGAATTAATGAAAAAAAAATTGTGTTTAATATAAAAAACAAGAAGCTACTTAAAATTGAATTGCAGAATTTTGTGAAAAATATAGTGGTAATAGTATATTAAAATTGAACACCAAACATTAATATATTATGTTTATGTACTCKTATTATGTATTTATTTCAATAATGTATGTAATTAAATTTTAATTAAAATTACCTTTGTACATTTTTTACATAGTATTTAAATAGTAAAAGTAATTKCCCATTAAATAAATAAGAAATGTATTCAAAACTTTTAGAATTAAATTCGATAATACTTTATTCAACAAAACAATGTTTCTTTATAATCAACTAATATCTTCTGATTTTATAATTTTGTAAGAACATAGTATAACGTAATTGGGTTTTCAATCTATCGAAATACAAACAATTTCAGATGCATAAATAATGTTTATACTTCCAAAGATTTTGATACAATCCATTATTATTTAACATTTTATCATAATATATGATTTAATGATTAGGAAAATAGTGACCAAACCAGTTAAGAAAAAATGCCATTATGATTTCGTAGCTTTAATTTATTATAACTTGTAGTTTTACAAACTAGAAATGTGCTTTGCTTGTAGTTTTAAAAAATTTATAGAATAAATTGTTGCACAGAGTTAGAAATTAAAAGTTTTAAAATCCGTCTGTGAGAAGTTATTTTTATGTGCATATACATTAAATTAATATTATGAATTCAGTAATTGATATAAACTAAATTTCAATACTTGATATTAACTAATATTTGAATGTATGCCAATTTCATGTATTACGTTGTATCCATTGTGTATGACAATAGACTAAATTGCATATTAGGTAATCAGCGAACTAAATGTTCATAGTTTAAAGATTTATGTTGAAGTCTAGAAACAATTAATTATATGATTTTGGAATTAAAAAAAAAATTAAACACATTGGAAATTTATAAATACCAATTTGAGAATCTGTAAGGCATATATTTAGATAAGTGGATATTAAAACAATAAAAACACTTATTGTGCAATTTATGTATATCATCATCAAAATTATAAGGAAAGATAGTGTAAGAAGGTTACCTAGATGTCACACCTTGATTACGACCTAGATCAATGTTACATTCGTTCGCATCTTCAATTACGACTTAATAATTTATTACTATAATGTCATTATTGAATACATTATAAACGTCGATGATAGACAATATTATTCTTTATAAGCTGATGCGTCTCGACATCATTATTAATTTATAAACGAGTTTTAAAAATAACACTAATCTTTAGTTTTGTGTGAAAAATAATGAATACATTAGCGTATAATTTATTTATTTAATAAATACAGGTACCGCACCTATTACATATCATTTACATCATTATCTAATGAAAAATTTGTACTTAAATTAACAATAAATTATCATGCTAAAACCTGTAATAATATCCATCATAAATTAAATTATAATAATTTTTAATTATTKAGTACATATATTTAAAATTTAATTTAATTTGATGAAGTATTTTTTAGTACATTTATCATTTAACAGAACCAAGATGATCATACTCAATATTTCAGACAATATCTATTAATTGGTAAATACTAAATAATAATAATCCRAGCTTGAATAATAGTGTTATTTTTTTAATATTAAAAAAGTTATATATTTTATTATTTAACTAATATTTTTTATAACGTTAGTTCAAATAACAAAAAGTTTATGAAATAATACGTTATTATACGTGTGATTAATTAAAATATAATACTAGAATACTAGAATACTAATTACTAAATAAAAGTGAATCAAATAAATTAACTATGACTAATAAAATATAAAATATGAGGTAGGTAAATAAATTAGTATCAAAATTAATTAATATTTAAAAAAAAGTAAATTGTATCACTTTAAAAGTATAAAAAGTACCTCCATTATTTCTTGGTGCTAATAACTTCCCTTATTTGTGAAACAATAATACGTTTAAAAYCAATGAAACATTTTACATTTTTTTTTTCAAACAATTTTTGTTTTTTTTTTAGTATTTTTTGCTCACTCACTATATATTATAAAATATTACATAAACATGAAGAATTATCAACAAATTTTAACTAAAAAACCTGGTTAATCGTGGTAGTAGAACTATTTTGCACTGACCGCTGACTTATTTGACCACAATGTTATAGTTATCAATTTGCATATGGTTGAAACACTTATCTTAAATTACATGACTAAAATGAACAACAACATATCTAAGCGATTGTCTATAGTCTATTTGTGTAAATTTTAAAATATCTAAATTATGTTACCATATATGTATTATATAAACCTGGTATTATATATATATCATATATATCATATATATATATATATCACACATTACTTAAAAATATTTACTAAAAAAATTCATATCTACTATTTTGTTTTGTTTCATTTTAAGCTAATATAAGCATTTGCGTTGATTTTTATTAACTGGCCACATATAAAATTACCAAACAATTGTGATGTTTAAAAATATGTTACCAATGTTTTTTCTTTTTTATTTTTAATGTATGACATGTTAGTGTCTAATTCCAACTAAATAATTAATTGACTATAACTTATAAGTTATAATTATATTAAGTCTAGTAAAGTGGAGTTGAACATTTGTTTTATATCTATCAAAGACTATTATGAATATTTAATTAAATTGTGCCTATTCTTTTATTTTATTAGCTATAAATATAAAA